AGACTCCTTGGATGCTCTATTAGTGCAATTAATACCACAGCAAGTCATTTTGTCCAACAATTGCACAAATAATAGTCAAAAAAGAACGCACAAATGCTAAAACTAATGGTCTAAGTTGAGGGATTGAAAATCGCGCAACAGTTTTCAGGCGAGGCCGAGGCTCAGGCTGAGGCCTTTCCAAGGAGCTAGCTCTACGGTCAGGTGGGTCTGATGCTCATTAATTAGTCAGAATTTTAGGCATTTAATACACTTAAACAGAAGAGGGACAAAAAAAATTCACCCCCCTCAGAGTTGTCATGAGTATAAACTAGATCTATTAAACATAAAACATGTTTTGGAACCAGGCTGTAAACATGTTTATTTCTGCTATGAAAGTGGTATTTTTAACATGGGAGTCAATGAGGATTTGCTCGCTTCTGACACCAGCCCCTAGTGGATGAGGGTGGAACTGCAATTTATTTCATTTCCGCATTGGCCTCACTTTCAGAACCGAATTGTGGGGGCTTGGTTTACATTCATGACAACTCTGAGGGGGTGAATTTCTTTGCCCCATTTCCCAGGGCAGCCGACGCACGGGCCGGCTCCGATGCCATGCTGGTCATTTGTGGATTTCTGAGGGAGATCACAGAAACACTGCAGCTTTTAGTTGATGCTGCTTTACTTTTGAGTTGCTCAAACGCATTTTTCTTGCTAATAGTTTGCTGGTAGAATGGGAGAAATTTCTATGTGTTTACATTAACACTGCTTGGTCTAAGATGGGTTGAAATTGGTTGAAATATAACGTGTTGGTGTGGCTGCTGGGTATCTGACCGAGGATCAGCGAGTCCGCCGTTCTCGTCTCCAGTCGGGAGTGCAACACGATACTGTGAGCCAAGTCCCAGAGGCTCATGCGTTGATAACGATGGGCTCGTGAATTTTTGACCATGGTGGACGAGTGAAGCCCAATATCCTTGGTCAGCTTATGATTCAACACATTCTCACACCCTAAGTGTCGGAAACAAACGCTTGGTCAGCCACCCTCCACGTCAGACCCCAGACGCCAAAAGTGCCCTTTTTCGTTACTTATGTGCGAAAAGGGGTTTTCCCCTTTTGTAACTGCAGATCCCAATGCAGCGTAAAACTGACGTGATTAGATATCCGCTGATGCGGCACAGAATCAGCTCATTTAACTGCACCTAAACCTTAACGTTTCACTATTTATAACCTTCCCCTCACCCTCATCCTAACCTTAACCCTCTTGCTACCTAAAACGTTACTCTCACTGTGATCAAGCGTTTGTTTCCCATGCATTCTGACTCTGACAGTCAGAGTCTGACTGTCAATTTTCGTATTTGCCGCCCAACTACTTTTAACCTCCACTGTGGTAGTTGAAACCTCCCCCTTGCGTTGGCTCGATCCAAACTCGACCAATGACGAGGCGGCTCCCGCCGTTCACTTCATAGAGCCAGCTTTTAGAGCGATCAACTCATCACTAACGTGTTCACTAGCCAGATGGTTAAGGTTAGGATAGGGGTGAGGGGAAGGTTAAATAAGAGGATAAGGTTAAATAAGAGGATAAGGTTAAGGTGAGGTACATTGAGCTTGTTTGGTGCCCTGGCTGCGGACATCCCATCACATCAGTGTAACGCTGCATTGGGATGCAACGGTAGCAGACATCCCATCACGTCAGTTTTATGCTGCATTGGGATCTGCAGTCAAATAAGGGAAACCCCCCTTTTCGCACATAAGTAACGAAAAAGGGCACTTTTGGCGTCAGGGGTCTGACGTGGAGGGTGGCTGACCAAGCGTTTGTTTTTGACGTGCTGGGAGTGAGAATGTGTTGTATGATTTTATTAATAAGCAGGCTGGAGGTGCCTTTAAGTTGGAGTCGTTCTACCGTGCTTTTCTTGCAAAAAACGCCCAGAAAAACTCTGCTTCAGGTTAGCATGTAGCTAATGTCCCGCTGATCTCTGCCCGTGGAGAATTAGTTGATCTGAAAGGCCAGGGCTCCCGGTCACAGCGGTCTGGCTCTGTTTGTAATTTAACCGTCCCAGTCCATATTAGATCTCCACAGGCAACCAGCATGACTACAGCCTCGTACTGAAGCCGGTTGGCCGTGCAGGTGGGCTACCCCGCAGCCAGGGACCGAACTGTTTTAAATGAGCCACAGGAAAAAGGAATCAGAAAAATCAGGGTTTTACTTACCCAATTTAACAAAAAATACAAAAATGACAAAATGAGGCCCCTAAAAGAGGTCAACTTAAGTAGGTCCCCGGTGCCCTTCTTAACTTCTTGGGTTAGCAAAGGTAGCTTAGCTAGATTGGTTTAATTTGTTCCTACCCTGTTCCAAACACAACAGCCCCACCCTCAGCTCCACCTCTTTACCCATTTTTGGATTGTCTGGGCATGACTCAGTCAAAAGATCTGAGGTGTGAACCTCCCATTTTTGGCCCCAACTTGTCCCCCAGCGGAGCAATGGGCGGCTTATATCCATATTTTTATATGTCAGTGGGCGCGACAAGCAGCAAAGCTTTGCAACCCATACCTGCACTAGTATATTTGAATACATGAATCTGATTGGTCATAGCTTTGGGGCTTCATAACGGGGGCTTCATAACGGGAATGTGCGGCTTCCTGGACTCCAGTAACCTAAATGCTGCTTTGACTGCTGAGTTCACATCAGAAAAAGTTCTGATTTATTTTAAGCAGCAAATGAAAATGCTTAACTGCATTTCCTCCTACTGTATTTTAGTCCTAAAACATGTTTGGAGTTGATTTCAGGACCTCCTTCTTCTTCTTGTGCTTCAGAGGAAGAACTCATATTCCTGAAGATCAGATGCTCTAACAGCCCACCCTACCAGCCTCCTGTGATCCTACTTTTGTTCCAACACACTCTGACTCACAGACGGCAGGAACACGCTGAAACCTCTGTGCTGCCCTGCCTCCTTTTGCTGTGTGACTCACAAAGCTGGACCACTTTTAGCTTCAGTCACCACCACAGCAGGCAGAAGAGCTGCAGAGCTGAAATGAAGCAAGAACGAACAAATCAGACTAATAACTGTCATTATGTAGAGACACCTCAGGAGTATGACGCAGCAAACCTGCTCTAGGTCAGAGTGATCACTATCTACCAAAATGACCCTTGGGTGGGGGTTTACCCCTTTTATTCCCTCTAATCCTGCTAAAGTCAAGAAATCAGGTATTACGTACTTTAGTCATTTTAATTTGTTTTTTAGATTAAATCTGATGGTAAAATCACTAGAAAAGGACTTTTCATTTGTCCTTTTATATCCTTTTAACTCTGATTCCACCAAACATTCATCCCGTTATTTCTGTTGCTACCTGATGTCCACGTTTACACAACTTTTCTGCTCCAACTCTGCTTCATTAGAGGTCATTGTTGGTATGAGTGTTCAGTTTTATTGTAGCTCCTCTTCGGAACAATAAAAAAATAACAGGTGACATTCAGGTGGTCTGTAATAGTGCAATCATTTATTCTTTTTTTTACCAAACTAAAGCTGTGAATAGTTTAAACCCAGAGTTCCACTTTCTCCTTTTAATCAACTATAAAACAAACAGCAGCTAAAACAAGTTTTTATCAGCATCAATCTCTGGTGATGGATCAAAAACACTAATTAAAAATACATTCTTCATAAAACATCTTCACTCAAATTACAGTCTGTGTGTAACGGCTGTCTGCCTATCGAGGGTCGGGTTCTCTGAGGAGGTCAAATTCTCCACACAACTGTGTCTTTGTGAGGCGACTCAGCAGCTACAGGTGAGCAGCAGTGTCATGGGAACTAGCTTCTCAGATTTTAGGACTTTGAACCTCAGTTTGGAGAAACAGAATTCTTCTGAAGGGATTGATGAGCTAACGGCTAGTCACAGCAGGGCCAAGACCATATCATGGTTGCATTAACCCTCTCAGGCTCAAAATAATTTTTGATAAAAAGACAAACAACTAAGTCCTTCGGGGGTACTACTGAGTTAAAAAATACTCATGAAATATGTATGTGGAGTAACCAGGTAGGTAGGTTTTAACTGTTGCAAATCTGCAGCGCCTGCCTCCAGAGGGTTAATGCAATACTAATTTAGTTTTCATAGTACCTCGAGCAAAATTGATTTTACAGTTGTCAGTTTTTTTGTTAAAGTGGACATTTGCTACCAAAAACGTTATTTAAAATTAGCAGCTTGCTGTGGAATTCTGACAGCAGCAAAATAAGCTTTATTAAACAAAAATAACATTTGCATGAACATCAATGGAATATTTTAAATTTTTTAAGGGCAGTAATCCACTTTTGGTCTTTGACCTGATCAAAACCAATCTTGTCTTCTCTAAACTGAGGTTGTTGAAGGAGCTATTTTTGACCTTAACATCCATTTCTATTTTAAAAAAGCATTAAAAGTGTGCAGTGTTTTATTTATGAAAAAATAATATATAATTTAAAGGGTGTTACCTCTTATTGGTCATGTGTCATAAAACCTGAGCTTTGACTAATGCTGTGAAAGTTTGGTAGGGAAGAACAGTGGTTTAATAGTCTACCCATTTCATTTATCCTCTGGAATTACATTTGCAGTGAAAAAAGTATTCTTTATTGATTAAATAATATGTCTGTTTAGTTTCAGATGAGACGATTCCTTACTTTAGAGGACATGCAGCAAGCCCTATTGGTGAGCTAAATGTAGCTAAATGGAATAAACAAAGCATAAAAATTGTAATGAACATCTTATTGTCTAGCAATTTGCTAGTTAATGGGTATAATTTTAACTAAACTGTGAAAAGCAGCAGAGATGTGAGAAAAGACAACCACCTCAAATTAGCATTGTCATGGCAACAGCAAGCCATAGCAACGTGCTGGTGGATGATTGTTTCAGTCTCTGCCGTATCAAACAGACTGCTTAGTATTTTGTTTTTGAGAAAAAGGAGAGATTAAAGTCTCCTTTGGTGCCTTTAAACATGCTGAATAAATCAGCATTAAATAAGAACATTTGCATCACAAAAAACACTCATCACCAATGAATTCAAATGAATCCAACTTTATTCATACCATCCATAATTACAAAGTTTTGTGACCCCTTGTTCTGATTGTCTCCAGCCATTTGTTCTAATTCACCTAAAAACATGTAGTCCATCAAATATTTAATATATTAGTAAATAGTCATTAAACAAAAGAGGTTTTTAATTCACAGATAAATCCTTAAATCTGAGAAAAGATGGTCATGAGAAATAAGGGAAGACAAAATGTAACCGCTTTCCAAAACAAAATAACATTCTTTTTCTTGTCCACTTTAGCTCCATTTTTCATGCACATGAAAATGTTCCGATATAAATAGAAGAAAAAAAAAGATTTTTACTGGAGACAATATAATCTGAACGTAGCATTTTTAAAATCCCTTCAAGCATTTTCATAGAACCAGTGTCCATTTTCTAGAGATTACATCAGAATTATCTCATTCTTCAGATGGGGATGGGGGGGGGGGGGGGGGGGGGGGGGGGATTATAAACAAAAAAAAGAGAAAAAAACATTCTTCATTATGAGTCCCAGTCAGACAGACATCTACCTTCTTTCATGTATTTACCTCCTTTTTGTATAAATTACAATAAAAAGATTTAACAGGCGTTAGAAAGCATTTGTATCAGTAGTAATCCCCTACACACACAATGGCAGTACCTGAACGTCGCTTTTTCTATAAACACAGACCCAAAATGTTCAAATGACTTAGTACGACACATAATAAACTGGTTTGGTTATCATGCAGTTGTTTACAATGTGCTTATTGCAAAAAAACTGTTTCTCAAACTTTTTAAATATATTGAGCTGATTAATTTTGAATCTGTGCAGTAATGTCTTGTGGAATAAAACAGTTTCAGACAATGTAAACAATAAGTTAGCATCAAACATTGCAAGTCCTGTCATTTTGAAATCTTTGGATTTTTATTTTTATTTATACACACCAAAAATATACCAGTGTTGCAGATTTACAGCATTTTCATTTAATGTAGTTTTACAACAGATTCACATCAGAATGAATAAATTCAGTTTTACTAGAAAACAAAACAGGTTTGAGCTCACGGTAGTGAACAGATGGCAGAGTATCACCATCAGGATGAGGACAGTAGTAAGCATCTCTTTCTTTCTGTCAAATCTCACAAAAAGAACAGAAAGGTGTCCAGCCGTGAATATCCTCGTGAGCTGATTTTCCTCTAACAATGAAAAATCGCTGTGTCATGGTTTACTTTTGTAGTCATCCACAGCTAAAAATGGTCCCTCGTGTAAATTTGTATACCAACCTAGTTGAAAGCTGGTGACTTTGTCCTTTAAATGAGATTAATTAAGTGTAAGAGGAAAAAAAACCAAGCCCCATCCTTCCCAATACAGTGTTGCGTACCTTAAAGAAAACAAATTCAAACATCTAAAACCATTGTGTTTTTAAATAAATAAAATACATTTCTGTGCATCTTCTATTTTCAAAGCTGAGGTTTCCCAGTTAATCACGTATGTGTCCATTTAGCGTCTCCATCCCAATCCCCCTCACTGGCAGCAGTGGTTGTTGTAGTTTTCGGTTAGGGTCTTCTGCTGAATGATAAGACGCCAACCACAATATTATTGTGTGGTCGAGCCATTAAGAGCCGCTGCTTTCAGAGGAGGTCTCTGTAGCTGTGCATTATGTAAAACATGTACAGAATGAATATTTGATACTGCTGCCATATGCCTTATATTTAGTCTGCGCTGCCTGAAGTGGTTTATGGTAGCCAACGTGTGAGGGCATTTTCATTTTCTTCATTACAAAGGTTAAAAACACCATGTGACTGATAATAGCACATTGTATAGTTTTAATAAATCTCACATTTATTTGGTGCCATGCTAAGATGGCAATGTGCTGGTTTCAAGGTGTACCACACTTTTAATAACAAATTAATTCAGTGGTTACAGCTTTGCTAAGGAGACCATGCAGGGAATTCATCTGTTCACACCTGCTTTATTTCTATGAGCTGTTAGCTCTCTATTTATGATGGCTCAATGAGAACCCCTTTGGATATTTCTCGTTTTGAAAGGCCCCAGAAAGGTGTTATTTCCTGTCCTGAAGCCAGCTGATGTCAGCTAGCTAAACAGTTGGTCAGGTTCCTGAACTCAATTCCCACAGAGCGAAACTTTTAAACGTTCTGTATTTTTAAAAATGGAAAGATTTCATCAGGTTTTCCCAACATGTGACCAATTAAGACCATACCATTGAAATATACGTAACTCTAGACAAGGCACCTCTGCCAACTTTAGTGGTTCAATAGTGATGCTGCCATGTTGAGTTTATGGAACCAGAGTCCATACATTAGCATTGTAGGGATAAAAGTTCCATCTACTCATCACCAGCGCACACTCATGTGTGTATATGTAAAAACAACCCGAAGGATGGGGTACTCCCTTTTTAGCACCTTAATATCGGAGTTTACCTTCGTTCCCTTTCTTTTTGTTCTACACTTTCCAAACTCGTTAGGTCTCGTGTTTGATGAACATAAAGTACTTACAAAGTAGTCAAACTTAGGTTTTGTATTCACACTAGCTGCACAATCAGGTTTACAATTATGACATGAACAGACACACACACACAAACAATCAAAAAGCCAAAAATACTAACTGTATTGTTATGGCTGGAAATACTAGAACATGTAGATCACGGATGCACTCTCCACCTCTAAAACTATCTTAGACCTAGTTACATGTTTGTGTAGGAGCAGAAAACATGGAGTACATAAATGCCAAGGTAGGCAGACATGTCGTCTAGCGTCACCAGGCTTTGAGCAAACTACCAATTGTCTGAAAGTGCTTTATAGCTTAGGTTGAGCAGCTTCTACTTGGTTACGCATGTTCTTAATGCCTTATAACCTTAGAACACGGGCCACAGGAGTTACTGTGAGAACACAATTAAATATTTAAACACTGTGGCCCACATGCTTCAAGTCTTTGTTCTGTTGAGTTCTTGTTTAGCGTGACTTTGCTATGGGTTTCTAGGGAGTTGCTGGTTTTCTGATAATTTCCTATTAGAAACATACAAATTTTATTGCAGTAACACCTATTTTAAAAAAGTAAACCCCAGACAGAGAAACCATGGTTTTTTTTGTAAGTAAAGTCTTTTGACAGTGCAAGACGTGATCACAGCTGATGGCTCCGAGGAAAAGCAAGGAGCACTAATGGTTTACGCTTTAGAAAAGAAGAAGAAAAGTTGTTTTGTGCAGTTGGGTTTAATGGTTGGAGGTGAACTCATTTTCTGGTCTTTGAAGGCCTGACAGCTGATCTCTTTGTGGTACTATGTCTATCAAGGACTTCAGGTGGCATACATTACCAAGCAATAGAATGAAACTACGGTCAAGAAACGGAAAAGAACAAGAAGCAAGTAATATGACACCATACCCATCTACTCTGCATTACAAAAGAACCAATGTCACCATCTCTTCATTGATCCCTACATGCACATACTGACTTCCTTCAGGGAACATCTTTTACACAAAACCCACATTGATCCACTGTAATCGGAATGCAGAACTACGTAAATTAGTTAGATTCCTGTGTAGTTCAAGTTGTGACTTCTTCTAGTCTTCCATTGCTAATACTGTCTCACAGACCAGACGAGGAACGGGTTATGGCTCAAGTCCAGAAATGACAAACCCTTTGCCTTCATTTAATTGTATGACAAAGGGTTTCTGGAAGGAACAAGAAAGACACCACACATTTGCTTCATTCTCCTAAAAGAACATTTGGTTTCCAAAGTTCTCTAAAAACCAAGCATCATTGTCTTGTGAATCAGGATGAGTAAAAGTATGTAGTCTGATGGGCACTTTTATTCAGATCTGAAAGGCATTGGTGTTTGAGGATTGATGCACTGACTTTGAGATCCCAACACCTGGTTTTGAAGTAGATTTGGACTTGCTTGTTGAGGTGGGGCCTTGAGCATTTGAGGGCAACGGCAGGTTGCGTGGAATCTGAGTGTGACGAGGCAGGGTTGTGTGTATGGTCTGCTGAGCATTGTTTAATTTATGTGGAGTCCGATTTTGAAAGCTTAGTCGATGCCGGAGTAACTGGGACTGAAGAAGCTTAGGTGTATAAGATATCTCCGGCATGATGTACTTTAGGCAGAGCTCCTTTGCCTCCTGGCTGATATTTGATGGGAGGTCATAACCAACTATGCCAACTTTTTCACTGGGCTGCCAGGGGCGCAGTTCTTTGTTTTTTATCTCAGAGGCTGAAAGCTGCAGTGGCGTTTGCCCACCAAAACAGCTCTTCATTAGCCTCTCTTGGGCTTGTTGAAGAAGGTGCACCTCCTTTGCCACGCAGTCTAGTCCCAGTTCTGACAGTTTGACCCACAACGAGGCATTAAAGTAGTCATAAAGATGTGCATCTATGGAATTCCAGTCACGGATCTTTTCAGGAAGACCCGGTGAAAGACTCTTCTTAGAACTTTCCATCCGCATATTAAGTTTAACATACAGAATGTCCTCCAAATCCCAAGAGAGGAGATGACGAAGAAGAACTAGAGATTCATCAAAATACTCAGAAATCATCACCAAAGAGAAAACTCTCTCCACCTCTGCCACAAAGGCTTGTGCATAAGCCACGTCTCTTTTTGGCCGATCTTTGTTACCGCCCAGGTCAAAGGTCAAAGTGTTATGTGCATACATGGAATACATCTCTTCTGGCCGGTAGTACCGTAAGGGGTCTGCTAAGAAGGCCTCTAGGGAGCCATTGGGGACCCTCCTGAAACTTTCACAGTGGTGGCTGTAATAAGTGAACAAAGATTCAAACATAGAAGCTGGCTCCCGTAGGATAGTGATGTATATCGTATTGTTTGGCATCAGGCGCTGGAGTGCAGTCTTATTGAAGCGCATGTGGCTGGTGATCATATTTGGTGGCAGCGTATGTGGATGTACAAAGTGAGATGAGAAGAATTGTGGGTAGCAAAACTGGTGACCACAGTTTGGTTTAGGCAATGCCATCATCAGGTTGTTGAGCTCAGCGAAACGAAACAGCATGTTCTGCATGGTGGAGCTGGCCGTCTTGTGGGTTTTAAGGAAGACTATGTTAGTATGCTTAGGCTTCAGACCTGAGGCAAGGCGAGCATGAAGTGTTGGGCAACCAAGATGCAGATCCTCAATGGTCCTTAGGGCAGAGATAGAAAAGAACATGAAGTCATGGTAGCAGCACAAAAGAAATTCCAAACACTGGAAAACAATGGCAGGTTGGACAAGGTAAGAGTTAGAACACACAACAGGTATTGATAGAAGGTAAACACAATAAGATATGGGGAATAATAAAGGCAGCATTGGCTAATTAAGGTCTTCTATGCAGTTGCACCTGAACATTTACAAACCCTTAAGCAATGTTTATTTTTCTGCATTTAAAATAGCCCAATGAATGGAGATAGAAAATAAAATGTGAATTACAGTTTGAAAATTACAATTCAGTCTACTCTCCGTTAAAGGGATATTCCACCCAACATTGACATTTTGTCTGTTGACTGTTGACATTTACAGGTGCTGGCCAGTAAATTAGAATATCATCAAAAGGTTGAAAATATTTCAGTAATTCCATTCAAAACGTGAAACTTGTACATTATATTCATGCAATGCACACAGACCAATGTATTTCCAATGTTCATTACATTTAAATTTGATATTCATAAGTGACAACTAATGAAAACTCCAAATTTGGTATCTCAAAAAATTAGAATATTCTGAAAAGGCTGAATATAGAAGACACCTGCTGCCACTCTAATCAGCTGTTTCACTCAAAACACCTGCAAAGGCCTTTAAAAGGTCCCTCAGTCTTGTTTTGAAGGCACCACAATCATGGGGAAGACTTCTGACTTAACAGCTGTCCAAAAGACAATCATTGACACCTTGCACAAGGAGGGCAAGACACAAAAGGTGATTGCTAAAGAAGCTGGCTGTTCGCAGAGCTCTGTGTCCAAGCACATTAACAGACAGGCGAAGGGACGGAAAAAATGTGGTAGAAAAAAGTGTACAAGCTCTAGGGATAACCGCACCCTGCAGAGAATTGTGACGACAAACCCATTCAAAAATGTGGGGGGGATCCACAAAGAGTGGACTGCAGCTGGAGTCAGCGCTTCAAGAACCACCACGAGGAGACTCATGAAAGACATGGGATTCAGGTGTCGCATTCCGTGTGTCAAGCCACTCTTGAACAAGAAACAGCGCAAGAAGCGTCTCGCCTGGGCCAAGGACAAAAAGGACTGGACTGATGCTGAGTGGTCCAAAGTTATGTTTTCTGATGAAAGCAAGTTCTGCATTTCCTTTGGAAATCAAGGACCCAGAGTCTGGAGGAAGAGCGGAGAAGCACAGAATCCACGTTGCATGAGGTCCAGTGTAAAGTTTCCACCGTCAGTGATGGTGTGGGGTGCCATGTCATCTGCCGGTGTTGGCCCACTCTGTTTCCTGAGGTCCAGGGTCAATGCAGCCGTCTACCAGGAAGTTTTAGAGCACTTCATGCTTCCTGCTGCTGACCAACTTTATGGGGATGCAGACTTCACCTTTCAACAGGACTTGGCACCTGCACACAGTGCCAAAACCACCAGCACCTGGTTCAAGGACCATGGTATCCCTGTCCTTGATTGGCCAGCAAACTCGCCTGACCTTAACCCCATAGAAAATCTATGGGGTATTGTGAAGCGGAGGATGCAATACGCTAGACCCAACAATGCAGAGGAGCTGAAGACGACTATCAGAGCAACCTGGGCTCTCATAACACCTGAGCAGTGCCACAGACTGATCGAGTCCATGCCACGCCGCATTACTGCAGTTATTGAGGCAAAAGGAGCCCCGACTAAGTATTGAGTGCTATACATGCACATTCTTTTCATGTTCATTCTTTTCAGTTGGCCAACATTAGAGAAACAAACATTTTTTCATTGGCCTTTAGAATATTCTAATTTTCTGAGATACCAGATTTGATGTTTTCATTGGTTGTCACCTATAAATATCAAAATTAAACGTAATAAACATCGGAAATACATTGGTCTGTGTGCATTGCATGAATATAATGTACAAGTTTCACGTTTTGAATGGAATTACTGAAATATTTTCAACCTTTTGATGATATTCTAATTTACTGGCCAGCACCTGTAGAGTTGTGGTCTGTTGGTGTGCAGGCAGCTTTGACTAAGACAGGAAGAGACTGAACAAGCTAGTTCACAAAACTAGCTCAGTTCTGGGTAACCCACTGAATACAGCTGAGGAGACGTGTGAAAGGAGGATGCTGGTGAAGATGACCTCCATCTAAAAATAAAAATAAAATAAAAAACCTCCCACCCACTGCATTCCACTGTGGAGACCACGGACAGCTCCTTCAGAGGCAGACTGAGACAACCCAAATGTACAACAGAATGCTACGGTAGATCTTTCATCCCCTCTGCAGTGAGTGAATAACTCGTCAGTTTAACCGGTACTGGCATTTTCCTGTTACACAAGAACATCATCCCACTGTCTTCATGACCCCGCGGGGTGAGGTGGTGCTCACTCCTCACCCCGCCACATGGACCTCAAGTGATAAACCATCAATCCTGCTCAATGGTCAACTTTCTTTGCGGGTTCACCCATGAAGACAGTGGGAGGGTTAAATACTTGTGCAACACCGGATTTACATAGTATTTCTGTGTCTCTTGCAGTGTACATAGATGTACCTTTGCTGCTGTAACAAGTGATTTTCCCCATGGGATCAATACAGTGTTCTATTCTATTCTATTCTATATTTCCTAGCATTAGATAAGTGGGAAAAAAAACAAATTTTAACCAGCCCAGTCATTCTCCTGACCCAGCTGTGCTCCTTTCACTTTAGCTTAGCATAAAACACTGTAAGTGGGTCCAAGTAGCATTGTGAGTAAAAAAAAGTCTAAAAATTACTCAGTGGTGATCCCAATTCTGCTTGAAGACTTAATTAGACTGACTGGAAGTGAAAATGATCAGTAACGTAAAATAATCACAGGCACCATTTTAGACTTGGGAAGCATGGTTGAGGGGAAAATCTTTTGTTTATTTTTTTATGTTGATGGTCCTGGAAAAGGCAGTTCAAGCAAGCTACAATTTGATGAAACAAAATTCTGGTCCAACCCCCTTTCTTCAGAACTCCCTCCAAGTCACACCTTCAGAATGCAGGAGACTCGATAGATACTGTCAAACTAAAAGCATAAGATTATCCTAACTTTTCAAACTGTTGTTGACAAGTTTTCTGCCTTATTTGCTGCCATATGTAACGCATTTAACAGCTATGTCCGGGCTTCTGGCGTATTCGTCGTTGTCCACTGCTAGTCGGGAGTTCTTGTGGACTCTGTCCCCTCTAAAGGTTTATAAGACATACGCCACTAGGATGTAGATTGGAGATCCAATGGGCTGAGTTCAGGTTACGTAAAAGGATAAAAATGTAGTAAGCTAACCAATATAGCTAGCTTAGTTGTGGCTTTGCCTCCTATTAACTGTCGTTTGTGCACAAAGAGGGGTACACGTAGAGGGGGGGGAGGGACAGTCTGATTGATGGATCAAGATCTCATTATTAAGAAGAGGACCTTCCCAATGACTGGATGAGGTTTTCCCAGGATTGCTCATTTCAGAGATGATTACAATTATTTATTTTATTTTATTTATTTATTTATTTATTTATTCACAAAACGTTTAATTTATTGGTTGCCATCGGAAAAAATAGATAAATAAAACATTTCAAGCAATATGGCAAAAATGCTCCAGAAGAACATCTCCTACTCCACCTTAATATTTTAATATCAAATTGATATGCCTGTTTCTAAGAGCTTTACTTCTTTAACAAGATAAGTACATTAGTATATTAGACATAGTACATTCGTACAACCAAAAAGACCTGTTGTGATGAATCCTATGCATGTCATTTACAGGTTGTAAGGGCCAATTTTTTATTAATATTTAAAATTCAGAAATGAAATTTAGGGCTGCACAATATTAGGAAAACCTGTGATATTCGATAACAGTGCTTAATACTGCGATATCGATATTACTCGCGATACATGAACAAATACTAAAGTATGCAGTGTTGATGTCGTCTGGCGTGTGACGTCTGCTCTGGGTTCAAAGCAAACAAAAACTAATGCATGAATTCCATTACAACATAACATTTTTAGTGCAATAATATGCAGCTGCACCTGCTACTGTATTAGCAGCAAAACAACAAACTGCATGCATGCAGTTTCTCAGTGACTTTAAAACATCACCACCACCATAAAACTTTTTCTGATGCTCCAAATACAGAAAAACATGCCATACCAGTTTTTTTTTGAATAAATAAAAAAATCTGAAAATAAGTTTAAATGTTAAATAATAGTTAACATCACTTACATGCAACAGGAAATTCTCTCATTGCTACTGAACATTTTCTCCACATATGTGGTTATGATATAAGGCTGTTGCTGCAATTGGAAAGTGATCTGTGCAGGCCCAAACTAGGAGAATATTAAGATTTTCTGAGGGAAAGAGAAAAACAATTGTCTACCTTTCAGAAGAGGAACTGGCAAAAAAAAAAACTACATGGAAAATATGTGAAAACGTTTGTTTTTAACCCTAAATTGAACAAGTTTACCTAGATCTTAAAAAGCAGCTCAGATGATGAAACTGCAACTATGATTCTGATAACAAGCTAACAAATTGAACTAGCTCCTCTTAAGATAACCGGCTAGCAGAGCTTCTGACTGACAGTTTATGTGCAGCAGCAAATCAACTATCCTGATTAACAAGGTTATAAAAGCTCATAAATGAAAAATCACTTTGATGTGTGGGGGACTTTTCCAGGCCCTCTTTAGCAGGGTGGGACTGGGAGGAGAGTGCTGTAGCCTTTTAGCTGGAAGCTAACCAGAGCCTGGGACTAACATCACCACCCGGTGGAACACTAGCGACACGAAGGTGGGTTGGTTCACCGGCACGTGTCGGAGTCAGCCCGGTAAAAATGATTAACGGCACCGAGCGGACTCACGTTCACATTTGAAAGCAGCGCTGATTCCAGAAACCTCAGCACAAAGTGCGTTCGTTGCTCTGAACCAGCATGACGAACAAAGGAACGGCGCCGCTAATGTTCAGGTGTTGCTTTCCATCCTAAGGTCTAGGTAGGGGGCGGGCGTATTACGTGAACTGACCCATCTGATTGGCCGCATATCAGAAGGGCTACATTTGATTGGTCAAATAATACTTCTGCGTAAAAAACAGAGCTGGTTTACAAAAAGTTGATGTATGACACGGATGGAAATGTTGAACCAAACATTTATTGCCGTTTTTGAAGTGCTTTGCGATGGGCCTATCGCACGTCCTGTTATCGCGATGACGATAATTTTTCGATATATTGTGCAGCCCTAATGAAATGTATAATTAATGTATTACCATGGCCGTTCCTCAATACCCAAGTACGCTAGTACATTCTTGTGTACTTGAAAAGTATATTCGTGGCAGGTAAAGCAGGAAGTGGGCTGCATGGTGGTGCAGTTGTTAGCACTGTAGCCTTGCAGCAAGAAGGTTGCAGGTTCGAAACCAGGCTGCAGCCTTTCTGCATAGTTGCATGTCCTCCCCACGCATGCGTGGGTTTCCTCCGGGTACACCGGGTTCCCCCACAGATCACAACATCCCCTATTGGTTAACAATTGTATATCGCTTTGGATAAAAGCGTCTGCCAAATAAATAAACATGAACGTAAAAATAAATTCCATTCTACTGATTATGGGAGGACAAGGACGGAACTGTGTCATGGCAACAAGTGCTGCGTGTTGCTACGGTTAAAAGCACGACCTGACATGAAAATAAAAGTCTACTTTAAACCTACATTAAGCAGGGGAGGAAGCCTCAAGTTTCACATTTCCAGCACCTACAATGCAGCTCTAATCCTAATTCCATCACAGTTTCAAGTTAGGAACCAAAGAAGTCCAGTTGCCTTTATTTGAACTTCTTTGGATTAGCATGCCTGTATGCCTTAACCAGCATAGTGGGTTGGCTAAATAGGATTTTGAGGGATCGTATAGAGTCTGAAAACAAATACACACAGCAAACTTTACAGGTTACACAAAATTATTTACAATATCAGACAACTTAGTATTTCTTTATTTGTATTTCTGACTCAAAACTCTACAGTTATGAGCATTCTACTCTACCGTTTGGAGTATAATGGTTTGCAGGGCATTGCATTAATGGATACTTTGCTGCACCAAGTCTACAGAAGGATGCATTGATGCATCCTCAATACAATGGGTGAGACAACACATCACATCACATCCAGGGACTTTGACTGAACTTGCTATGATGCATGCTTAGGAATGGAACATCTCTTGGGCCATCGTTGATGACGTTTCACGAGGACATGAGTACACAAGTTCAGACAAGTACACATATTGAGAAACAGCCTATGATTATTGCATAATTATCTAAACCAAAAAATGAACAAGGTAATATATAAATTTACTAAATGACTACCAGCACAATGGTACCATGACGGTAATGCTCCTATATGATTATTATTATCATCATGAAAGAAAATGACATACACTGCCACTGACTGTGTTCAGCTATTTGTTGAAATGTTGGGGTGTGTTTGTCACTCACCAGCTGAAATTATGCAGCAGAAGACTGACAGTACAGATGAAAAGGAGGACCAGAAATATCTTCTTCTGTGACATCTTTAGCCAGCTCATTTCATTTGGACTATGGAAGACAGAAAAAAACTGGTCAGATGAGGGAGGAAACAAAAGTTGTAAAAAAGCATGAGAATAGTAAAGATTAGAGTCAGCTGTGGTTAATGTTTATTAAAAAATTAACCAGATTAGAATTGAAAATACAAACAGGAGAAAAGATGAAAAAGACAAAAACCAGAAGGGTGAAGATGGGAGGTGAAGTGAACAGGGAAAGAGCAAACAGGATAGATATTTAAACAGTGTGATGAGAATTTATTCAAGAATGAATGTTGGGATCCATTAGCAGGACTGTAATGACACTTGGCTTTGTTACTCAGTAACAGCATGGTAAATTATACCTTTATAACTATCCAGTGTTATTATTGGCCTTGTGCAATTACCTTTAATTCAATACAAAGGTGTGCCTGTAAATTAGGTTTAAACAAGAATAAAAGAATAAAGACTCCACTTCTGGAAAAAATCTGCATCATTTTAATCTGGAAAGGTTCCACTTAGATCCCAAATGCATGACAGCAACGACGGTCATCTCTCTCTTGATTAAACTATTCTGTTACCATCATTGCCTATTGATGAGAACAGAAGCTCTCCTTTTTCCTTACTCCTTGATATGCAACTAAGTGGAGAGGCACAGTGCATAAATTTTACTCATCGCTGCACAGCTAGGACCTACAGACCATAGAGTACCCTGGTTTACTGACATGAAAACTGTAAAAAAAACTGGTGATAAATTGACCTAACATAACCAATCTTTATCCGAAATGTTGGTATGTCAGGAAACAGACTTGTTTTAGATGTAATTGCCGTGGTGCTAGAATTTCAGGCGTGGCACTGCTTTAATGCTTCACTTCTATTCAACGACCTGATCAGTAGGTAATTTCCTTGTCTTCTCTGTAGCATCCTTGCGTTTTCACTGCCAATAAATAAACGTTCAGGTGCTTGTAGATTAACCGTGTGTCTGTCTCTCCCGAGACTCGTACTCCCGCATTTGGGTCTATCTGACACGCTACAGCCGAACCTGCTAACCAACCCTGGTGACTCACAATCATTCCCGACACGGACATTGATCCTTGTGCCACTCTGTCACATCATCCCGCCCACCAAACCAATAGAGCGCTGTGATTGGCATGACAATACTGTTCAGGCCAATGGCAGGCCTACTGAGGCTCATTTGCAGCATGGCTAGACCATCATGCAGAGCCAATTCATTTTGCTTTGGCAACTGACGTTCCAGATTTCCAGGCTAGGAAAGCTCAGTTTCAAAATAAAACCACGAGTAAAATACATTTGAACTTTGGCCAGAAATTATAAAGTAAATATATATCGGGTCATGGGGGCAGTAGCCTAATGGGCCATTCCCATCTGTACTGGGTCGGCCCGGGCCGGGTAGCCCCAGTCGGCCCCAGCCTGGCCCGGTTGATTCCACACATCCTTGCCTTAAGCCCATGTGGGCTGATTCTACCCACCAATCAGAGGCTTGCTCTAATGGAAGGGGTGAATTTGCTGTCAGCAGTGGGTGTGTTAGCCCTGGTCGGCCTGAAGCAGACCCCCTAGAGAAGAGGGATGGGAATGAGCCTTGGTTGGCCCGGAAAAATACCAGGCCACCCAGATATGTAAACAATCTACGCTACCCGGTCCGGGCCGACCCGGTACAGATGGGAATGGCCCATAAGACTTCCCTCTCCTCAGCCACTTGGGCCAGCTCCTCCGGGGGAATCCCAAGGTGTTCCCTGGCCAGGTGAGAGACATAGTCCCTCCACCGTGTCCTGGGTCTACCTTTAGGTCTCCTCCCGGTTGAACGTACCCAGAAAACATCACCAGGGAGGCGTCCAGGAGGCATCCTGACCAGATGCCCGTGCCACCTCAACTGGCTCATCTGGATGTGGAAGAGCAGCGGGTCTACTCCGAGACCCTCCTGAATGACCGAGCTTCTCACCCTTATCTCTAGCCACTCTGGAGAAAATTCATTTTGGCCGCTTGTATCCGTGATCTCGTTCTTTCGCTCACTATCCAAAACTCATGACCATAGGTGAGGGTAGGAACGTAGATCGACCGGTAAATCGAGAGCTTCGCCTTCTGACTCAGCTCTCTCTTCACCACGACAGACCGGTACAACGCCCACATCACTGCAGACGCAGCACTAATCCGCCCATCGATCTCACGCTCCAGTTTTCCCTCACTCGTGAACAAGACCCTGAGATACTTAAACTCCTCCACTTGGGGCAGGACCTCATCCCTGACCCGGAGAAGGCAGTCTACCCTTTTCCGAATCAAGACCATGGTCTCAGATTTAGAGGAGCTGATTCTCATCCCAGCTGCTTCACACTCGGCTGCAAACCGCTCCAGCGAAAGCTGAAGATCACGTTCTGATGAAGCCAACAGGACCACATCATCTGCAAAAAACAGAGACCTGATCCTCAAGCCACCAAAACGGATGCCCTCCACACCTTGGCTGCACCCAGAAATCCTGTCCATAAAGGTTATGAACAGAATTGGTGACAAAGGGCAGCCTTGGCGGAGTCCAACTCTCACTGGGAACGAGTCCGACTTACTGCCGGCAATGCAGACCAAGCTCTGACACTGGTCATACAGGGACCTAACAGCCCGTATCAGAGGGCCTGGTACTCCATACTCCTGGAGTATCCCCCCCCCCCCCCCCCCCCCCCCCCCCCCCACACACACACACACACACACACAGGGCCCCCCGAGGGACAAGGTCAAACTCCTTCTCCAAATCCACAAAACACATGTCGACTGGTTGGGCAAATTCCCACGCACCCTCCAGGATCCCCCTAAGTAAATATGTTTATTGTACTTTAAGTTACTGTAAAAAAATCAACAATTAGTTTGTCAGGGTTTTGCAAAAATCAGATGTTGAAATTGGCTAAGAAATGTGTTGTTGGTGCATTCCTTCAAAATCCAGGTTGATATTTCTAATTATAAAACTTTATTTTGTTCCACAGGACTAATTAAGACAAAAGGGACTTTCCTCATTCAAAACCATGAGTAGTCTGTCTTACTGTAAACTCACATGCTGAATAATGACTCAGAATTTTTTAATGTCACTAGTGAACAACACGCTCTTGCATAACATCAGCCGTTTCCTCTAGAAGCACAGACATACGAGAAGGAAGACATTGAGAAGAGGTTTGTCACCTGAGCACTTTTACCATCACAACTATTGTCCTTTCCGACTGTTTGTGCAATCAAATATAATCAGTTAGACCTGTTCTTATTGTGTTACTGAAATAGTAAACACACCGAAACACGATTCACCAACTAACTGTTCAAACATACCGGGCTGTGAAGCCAAGGGTGTTAATGCAAGTGGGGCAAAGTTACACTGATCTGTCTAGGAAGGCGTGTCCTGACCAAGCCCCCACAATGCGGGTCTGAAATTGAAGCCTATGCGTGAGTGAAAAAAATTGCAGTTCCAACCTCATCCGCTGGGGGCTGGTTTCAGAAGCGAGCAAATCCTCATTGACTCCCATGTTAAAAATACCAATTTCACAGCAGAAATAAACATGTTTTTGGTTTAATTGATCTAGTTTACACTAGGGTTGTCACGGTAACCGGTGTAGCGGTAAACCCTGGTAAAAAAGTTGACAATAAAAACAACAGTCTTGTTTTTAAAAAACTAAATTATCTCGGTGGGTTTACCATGGCCGCGGTTTAGGCGCAGAGACCCTTACCAGCCACCGTCGCTTCTGCTGAAGTTCCCGCGCACACGCACTTTTTAGTTTGGACACAAAACTTTGAAGCTGAAAAAATGGCAGAAGGAGGAGACGGCTAAATAGGAAGTATGGGCATATTTTGGATTTCTGAAAAATGCTGAGGGACAGTTAATAGAAGACTGCTATCCTGTTTAAAGAACGTGCAGGAAAAAAAGTGTCTGCAAAAGGCAGCAACTCTTCGAATCTAATGGCACATCTGCGTGACCATCACCCACGTCTCTACAGCCAGTGCAAGGTAAGTTAACATTAGCATTTTAGCTTAAATGCATGACGTGAGGACTTTTGGTTGAGGGAGAATGCAACGAGTCACTATATACTGCAGCCGCAGCGTCCTCTGCCAGCATTTAAACCGTGTCACGGACACCCCTATATTAAAATGATGTTATGCATTATGGCTCCCATAGCGCAGATGAGTTGGTCGCCACTGCTCACCCTATTATTATGAATTTAATAATAGTTACTGCTTGATGATATTTTCCCTAATCTGCAATGATATGATATATCAACGTGAAGGACACAAACCAAGGACGATAATTTTTTCCTGATTTTAGTTGTCTGAAACTGTAACACATTTCTGGCACTATAATTAGTACATCGCCTATAGGCCAGAATGGCCTATTTTGCAGACATCATTGAGACAAACTCCAATAATCCTAAGATTCTCTTCAAAACGCTAAACTCAGTTCTGGTTTATCAGGAGCCTAGCACCATGTCTCCTACAGCTGCTGGAAACTCTGAAGCTTTTCACAAATTCTTTGTTGATAAAGTGTCGGGCATTAGAGCAGTCATTTCTGATAACTCTGTTGACCCTGTTCCAGTTCCTCCATTACCACCCACCCTGAGCTCCCTCAATACAGTTTCATACTCTGAGCTGAGTAAGCTAGTTGCGAGGCAGAAGCCATCTGGCTCTCCACTTGATGTTCTACCGCCTTGTCTCTGGAAGGCTGCCTTTCCGTGCCTTGGCCCTTCACTTGGTCAGATTATCAATGGGAGCCTCAGCACAGGTGTGGTCCCAGCTGCTTTGAAAGCAGCAGTTATTCGGCCGACCCTGAAGAAACCTGGTGCTGATGTCACTGATCGAAAATTACAGGCCCATCTCTACCCTGCCCTTTACATCTAAACTGCTTGAGAAAGTCGTTTATCAGCAGCTGGTCTCACATTTAGCTGACTCTGATCTGTTTGAGGTTTTCCAATCAGGGTTCAGGTCTGGCCATAGCACAGAGTCTGCTCTACTGAGGGTCCTAAATGACATCTATCTATCACTAGATCAGGGAACATC